TAGAGGCTGAAGGTATAGAGAAAACATGGAGGATCAAACAGGAGGCAATTGCTCGTGAAGTAGATATCTTAAGTTCAAAGAATCAATATGATATTGTCTTACCAGGTTGACAGCTTCAGTCTAATTGTTTCAAAATACTCTCTCAAGCATCATTCAAAATTTTTTTGATGAACCTATTAGTTAGAAACCCTTTGCATATTAATCTTTCATGTGTCCTTATAGAATACTAAGGCTGTGTATGTTGGCATTTAGTTGATTCAAGAAATAGACATAACTGAATTCAAGAAAGCCTTGTCCCAAAACCATTTGGGTTGGCTATATGGATCCTGTTTCACCGTTCCCTTCTAGCTATAGCGATCCATTATCTTTTGTGAGGCCAGTCTCTGATGAGCAAAAGTTTTGGTTCTCTCTCTCTTATGGTTGTCCATAAACTATCCCGGACATATAGAATTGTTATCTTTTTACATTACATTTGCTAATTTTTTTATGTTTTTTTTTTTTAAATTTTCATTTTATAACAGAAACCTAACATCAATAATCTGTTTGCACAGATCTTGGTCCATACACTTTGGATTTTACCTCAAGTGGTCGGTATATGGCACTTGGAGGACATAAGGGCCATTTGGCTATCATTGACATGAAAAATATGGGCCTTATTAAAGAATTTCAAGTATGTCACCGCCCTCAAAATTAAGCTAAATCTTTTCATAGTGGTTGGATCTGATATAGAATCTTAGAGTTCTAATAATACTATAAATATTGCTTTTTATTTTTTTAATGCATCTAATACAATTCTATTGATTGTGATTCTGAGTCATTGAGGTGCTTATCTGTATCAATATATACAAATTTGAGTTTCTAATGCTTGGCTCTTCTAGGTTTGGGAAACAGTGCGTGATATGGCCTTCTTGCACAATGAACTGTTCTTTGCTATTGCCCAAAAGAAGTAAGGCCCCAATCTCTTGACAAAAAACGTTATGTGATTATAGAAATGTCATTTGTAGAAATGACTCTTTGAAGATTTACAGGTGTTTGTATGACAAGCTATAGATGCATGAATTTCTCATTATTTGTGCTGCTAATTTGCTGGATGTCACTTTGTATGTAAACAAAGAATTTACACCTAGAAGTCATCATTGTTCTATCATCCAAAAGAAAAAGGTTATCATTGTTACATTTTCCGAGGATTATGAAACTGCTGATTATATTCTAATCCTTTTTAATGTTGAAATCTCAAACAGGTTACTCTTGGATTAAAAAACGGAAACCCTTCCAGTCTAATGCTTTCCCGACCCACACATCTGCTTTCTTCCTCTTCTTCTTCAACAAAATTGCTTATAATTTTCCATTCAAAGAACTAACGAATATGTCAATCTCGGACTCCCCATATAGACTAGTTGGAATTTAAAATGCTTATTTATTTTTCTTGATCCATCTTTGTGGTAGCATTTGATGTAATTTTCAACTCTTTTATTTGTAATTCATATGAGGAAAATGGCAAGGGAAAAAAAAACTACAAGGGAAGTATACTTGGCCTATGGTTTTCTTTTTGCCCTAAGGTGGATGGAATAGAAGGAAGTGAAGAAGGGACCTTCTAACCCCTTGTAAGACTTTTTTGATCAGCCAATCCCTTATATAACCCTGTTATGTTGATATGTATTTGTATGATGGTAAAATAAAGTAATATCCCTTGCCTTTCCTCCCTACTTTTCATCCTTTAAACACATTCTAAAGGAAGCCATCCAGGGTTATCTGTTTCTCTCTTTTCTTTTCTTTTTCATTTTAGAAGCCAAATCCAGCTATGTTAATAAAAAACATCTACTCAAGTTGTTGCAAGGATTATTTTGCTCTAACAGTAATGTATGTTACATGGTCAATAGTGCTTTGCCATAAAGAATGTTGTCCTGTGACAGGTACTTGTACATTTATAACTGGCAAGGCACGGAACTTCATTGTCTGAAGGTCAGTATTCTGGGCTGAAGTTACTTGTATGTGCCATTGTTGACTATGCTATGGTTTTTATGATTCTTGTGGCATGCTGGAAACTAGCTGCAGTGCATTTTTCACCTTGTGTTTCTCTTTCCATATTTCATGGCTGTCTGAATTATGCCTTCGAGAGGAACATATATTATAGTCTGTCTAGATAATAATTGGGAAAACCTTCCTTTTAAAATACAATTGCAGGTCTTTAAAAAAAGTTTTATCTTAATATCAATCTATGCTTAGATATCTCATAATTGTTGTGGACTTCATACTAAGTCTATGTGGTTCCACAAGCATGAATGAATTGGTTTCATTGGCTGCTTCCCACTTTCTGGAGACGGTGATATTGTTCTAGTGTCTGACATGGTTCTAAATATCCTTATAAGTTCCTAGAGCTTTTGTTATTTCCCGTTTAGAGCAAGCAAAGATAGGATTTATACCCTTGAAAGTTGATGTCAAGCCGCTGAAGTGGTTTTGTTATCCCTCATTTTCCACTATGAAATAGTAAGGATACCGCTATAACCTGTCAAAGTTATGTTATGGTTCAGAGTAAGATATTTGGTAGAAGCTGTTAATACTTCAGAGCAGTTTGCTTTTCTTTATTGAACTTGAATGCTATCCAAATCAGAAGCAATTTGTACCTACTTTGATACCTTTAATTAACATAGTTCATTTAGTCTAAGCTTTAGTAGGAAGTTGAGGTCTAATCTTACCATACAATATATTGGTTATCACAGACCACTTTACTATCTTTGCACTGGTAATAAAACATGTTATTGATGGGCTCATATAGTGCTCCTTTGTATTACCTGTCCATGTTAGTGCATATACAGGCCTCAAGTACCTCAGTGACAAACCATACTCGTAATCTAGGTGGAATGCCTGTGTTAATATGATATAGATGACAGAAATTTAAGCGTCAATCTGATTGGGGCGATGGGGCTGCCTCTGATTTCTTTTTTTTCCTGAATGCTTTGTACCTAATTGAGATTTTTTAAAATACATTGTGGACCTGAACTTTTTTTGTTCTTTACCATTGTGTCCTTTAGGAGCATGGTGCAGTATTAAAACTCCAATTTGTGAAGAACCATTTCCTCTTGGCTTCCATAAACAAATTTGGGCAGCTCCACTATCAAGATGTTACTATTGGTGAGATGGTAGGTAATTACCGGACTCGTCTAGGCTGTTGTGATGTGATGCAAGTGAATCCCTTCAACAGTGTTGTTGCTTTGGGCCATTCGAATGGTACAGTAACCATGTGAAAGCCTACAAGTCCCACTCCCCTTGTCAAGATGCTGGCTAATCACGGGCTTGTTTCAGCTTTAGCCTTTCACTCTAACGGCCATCTCATGGCAACGACTGGTATGGATAGGAAAATAAAGCTTTGGGATTTGAGGAAGTTTGAGGTTCTTCAAACTTTACCTGGCCATGCCAAGACATTGGATTTCAGTCAGAAAGGTTTGCTTGCTACTGCCACCAGCTCTTTTGTACAGATTTTGGGAGATTTCTCTGGATCTCAAAATTATAGCCGTTATATGGGTCATTCCATGGCAAAAGGTTACCAAGTAAATAAAGTGTTGTTCCGACCATACGAAGATGTTTTGGGCATAGGGCACTCCATGGGTTGGTCATCGATTCTTATTCCTGGATCTAGAGAGCCCAACTTCGATTCTTGGGTGGCAAATCTGTTTGAAACATCTAAACAGCAGAGAGAGAAAGAAGTGCGCTCTCTTCTTGACAAGCTCCCACCAGAGACAATTTTGCTGGACCCCACAAAGATTGGTACAGTGAAACCAACGAGGAAGAGAGAGAAGCCAAGCAAACAAGAGAGAGAAGCAAAGATGGAAGCGGCCATTGGAGCTGCCAAAAGCATTACCCAAAAGAATAAAACCAAAGGCAGGAACAAGCCGAGTAAGAAAGCAAAGAAGAGACAGGAAGGAATCGAGAGAGCCAAAAAGCCTTTCTTGGAGCAACAAATGGAGGAAGAAGAATCATCTAAAAATAAAAAGCAGAAGATCGGTGAGGAAAGTGAATTACCAAAATCTTTGCAGCGGTTTGCTCGCAAGAAAGCTACTTCATGATTGTGTTAGATCATGGAACAGAAATCTTGGAGAGGAGACTTATCTAACTTAGTCTGAGATGCTTCAGTCCGTTGAAGGATTACTTCAGCTGCCTTTTTCTTCTTTGCTAGTCCTCCCCCGCAACCCCTTGCACGTCACGGAGATATGAAGAAGAAAAACAAAGAAAAGAAAACAAAGCAAAGATGGCGGCCATTTGAGAAGGGTGTTGTCGATTTTGTTTTTTCACTTTCCTTTTCTTTTATCTTTTCCGGTTTAAGTACTGTTAAGAACTTCATACAAGAAATTTTTAAACAGCTACAGGCAGGGTTTTTGTTCATCTCCTTGCTCTCAAAATGAACCTCTAAAAGTAGTAGGAATTATTATATTGTCTTGTGGCCTATAGATCAAGCCGTCATTTGGACTCGATTTATTGTCATTTTTTTTTAGAACATGATTTATTAAAAAAATTACGTATGTTTTTTTTTTTTTTGGAAACTAAACTTATTAGTTGTTGCCTGATCGATCAAGTTGGGCTTGACATTTATTTTTTGCAATTTTTTTTTTTTTGTGTTACTTATTAGAAATAATATTATGAAAAATGATATAGATCTCAAATTTTCTATCAAATAAATGATCAAATGTTTCACATGAGTGTGGAGTCTATAAAATTGCGGACTCCACGCTTTTGGTCATTTTACCCTAGTATTATTGCTAAAAAAATTTGAGTCCGGATCCTCTCCAGCCAAATTCTCCAGCCATTCCTCCTATCAAGGGTCAGAATTTGGCCACGTCACCAAAGCCAAAGTCTACGGCTCGGATCAATGCTGGGTAATAAAAATAAAAATAAAAATTGAATTTCTTTTCATTCAACAGAGCAACAGATTCAGAAGCTTTGTAATGGGTTTGTTAAGAAAAGTAATAAGAATTCTATAAACTTGAACTGTGAACCCATAAAAGTAATGCTCAAAACAACACTTTCATTCAAGAATTTAGTTCAAGACGTAAGGAATTTGAATTTAATAAATCAGTGCCCTCAATTTCGCTTCCTGAGCCAGCAATATTGTTTTCACCAAGACCTGTTAGTGAGCTTGATGCTGCAGCGGTTAAGGTCCAGAAAGTCTATAAGAGTTACCGTAATCGGAGAAACCTTGCGAATTGTGCAATTGTGGTTGAACACGTACCAACATTACACTAAACAAACAAATTTCATGATTCTTGGTTTGCCTGGTTTCACTCTCTTCTCTACGTTTTTTTTTTTTTTTTTTTTTTAAAGTTTTTTTGCTGCCTATTAAACAATGAAAATGGCAGTTGCAATACAAAAACTGAGATTCTCATCACAAGAAATTCACTAAGAAAAACAAACAAACAAAAAAAACTGCAAACTCCTTTCCCATTTTCAACCTTCAACTCTTACCAAATTCAGAAATCTTCGGAGTAAGACAGAAGGAGAGAGGGACAGACCGTTGATGTTTATCGCCGACTTCGATTTGCCGCTGATCATCGTTCACCAGAGCTTCGAAGAGAGTGAAAGGAGGAGAAGTTCTGTTGCTGTGTTGAATGAAAAGAAATTTAACTTTTTTATTTATGTATTACCCAGCATTGATCTGAGCCGTAGACTTTAGCTTTGGTGACGTGGCTAAATCCTGACCCTTGACAGGAAGAATAGCTGGAGAGGAAGATCCGGACTCAAAAAGGTTTTAGTAAATAAGGAAATTGTCCAAAAAACTACCAAACATGTACTAGACATTATTAGTGGTTTATGACAATAGGCATTTATTAGCGGTTGTGACAAACATGAATAGAGGTATTTAGTTGTAATGCATTCAGTTGCAAAAATTAAATTTTAAGATTTATTTTATTAAAGAGTTTAATGAAATCCTGAGTTTTTTCTGGTGATTTTTCTTTCCTATTATTTGGGAATCAAAAGAAAGAAGAAAAACCATCACCCGCGTATGAGCTTTGAGAAAGTGCCCTCCAACAAACATATTCACACATATAAAGCATACAACTCTGAAAATAGGTGAGCTTTGTAACCCAGTTTTTCTTTTCAATAATGCCCATCAAATAACTGCTAAACCGTTATAGTAAATGCTAAATAGTTTTCAGATTTAACCTATCTTCCTCATTTCAAATTGTCCAAATGTAAAATTACAAATGCATAACATTTCCACCCACCATTGGTCTCTATTAAGTACTGCATCATCCATGACGACAAAGAAAAATTAAGTCAACAATACATCCTACATTTTCTGATGCTGGCTGTAATTGGGACATGCTTTTGTATCAAAATGTTATGACAAATAAATAGACACATCTAAATCCTAGTGAACAAATAGAAACATAAAATTTACACCAAACTAACATCTTCATTCTGTAACTCCATTGTTAGACTGGTGTTCTTGAGGGGCTGTTAGGAAATCCCAAGATACGGTTCAGAATAGATCCCACCAGATTTTATGATCTGGATCACACAAAACCCAACGTAGCTGGATGGCGGAGAAAAGGAGACTCGGGATTAACCTGATTCTGTAAAGGGCAATTCAGAAAAAGTAGATTACGAACACAAGCATGAAACCAGTTAGTTTTGTCCGCAACTAACCTGATTATTGAATTTCCCGAGCAGCCCCTATCACTGTACAGAGGATGGAGGTTGAATAAAAAAGGTGTAGAATTTCTCATGGAAAGTGAGAGGGAGATTTATGATCTGGTTTGGGCCGTGGAATTGGGGCCGGACAGATTTGGGCCGGACAGAGTTGTGCCAGACAGATTTGGGCGAACAGGTGTTGGCCAAAGTTGTGTGGCCCAGCCTTGAAGGAAGCTGCTCGGTAAGGCAGCGCGTGGATTGACCGAGCTGCAAGGATCCGCGGTTACGAAGCCAGTCAGGTGAAAGGTCCAGCGCTAGGAAAGGCAAGGTTGGACCGAGGTACCTTTTGCTCGGCAGGAAGGTCGACGCAGACAAGCGTGAGTTGTCCCGAGCTCGGCTTTGCCGAGATGCCGCCGAGTCCGGTCCTCATCTGAGCTTAGCTGTTGGAGTACTTGGGCATGAAGCGCAGCATGGCAGACGATGGCCGAGATGGTACTGCCCGGCTGCCGAGCTCCTAGGAGAATGGGCAGGCAGTTGGGTTAGGTGGTGCTCAACAAGGTTTATGCTGATAGATGGGATAGTAGTGCCACGTGTTGGGAGGACACTGGAGTAGATTTGGGGCGTAGAAGGTATATAAACACGTCTGCGCCCCCATACGCGGAACAGATGAACATTGGTGAGACATACACTAAACACTAAACACTCTCCCTTCTCTCTATCTATCCCTGTGTGTGTTCTAACTTGATCGTCGGGGGGTTTTCCGGCCACACACCGCCGGGTAGCTCACCGCTATTGTGCTCGCAGGTGATCGGACAGAAACGGAGCTTGGAAGAAAGGAGTACGGGCTTGCCGGAATATTTGCTCCCCGTACAATTGGCGCCGTCTGTGGGAAGCTTGACAGATAAAAACCTTGTCTTCCAGGCTCATCTGATCGTCGTCCATGGTGAACAAAGACGAGATTCCGTTGTCGCCATCGATGGAGCTACCCCGGAGTTCACCCGACGGAGAGAAGGACATCCTGTCATCCTTCCAATGGCGGAACTTGGATACGTTCACTGGAGGACAGTCAGGAGACGCGCGGGATAAGTGCGGAAGAAGTTATGGTCATTCACGAAGTCCAGACGGTCATCGGCGGCGGAGAGAATCACATGCCCGACGTCTGGACACAAGTTGAGGACCAAGACGCTGTCATCCGGCGAATGGCAGCGGAGATGGAGGAGTTGAAGCGGCATGTCAAAGGGAAGGGTGTAGATGGAGTGGTAGACCACAGAGAGTGCATCCATCCCGCCGTTCAGAGAAGTCCAGGCCGCAAGATAGCACTTACCAGCCCTCACGTCCGGTGACGACGTCGAGATATTCCTATTCCGCTCGTTCAGAGGACTTGCGGCAGTCTTGAAGGAACGGGCTCGCCGGCGGAAGGCTCAAAGGGTGCCGGCGTTCCAGCGGCTATCCTACAGGGTTCATGCCAGCGAGGAGGCCGGAATGCCCCACCCCCGCCTAGCGGAGCCACTCCTTGTAGATACAAACTTGACGAGGCTGAGCGCCCCCCTTTCTCCTGGAGATAGAAACAACACCGCTTCCGCGGGCTCCACCAGCCAAAGTTCACGCTTTATGACGGAAAGACCGATCCGTATATGCATGTACCACTTCCGACAGGTCATGGCCGGACGTAGGCGAAATGACGCTCTTATGTGCCTGATCTTCCCGTCGAGTTTAGGCGAGCTGGGCTTGAAGTGGTTCGAGAGGTTGCCAGAAGGGAGTTACAACAATGGAATCAGTTGGCCGAAGCCTTGTGACGCGTTTCAAAACCAACACCAAAACGCCAAAGGAAGTTGACCCCTTCTCAGTGTCAGGATGGAACCGAGCGACACTCTCAAGGCGTACAACTCCAGGTACTAGGATACCTACAATGAGATCCTAGATTGCCAGTCAACCTGGCAATCACCCAATATAAGCGCGGTCTCCCGCTCGGACATAGGCTGAGGGATTCGCTTACAATGAGCCAGCAGACATCCATGTGGCACCTAATGCAGCGCATCAATGAGCACATTCGAGTAGAGGATGATGCAGCGACGTCCACCGCGGAGACAACCTCAATGGCAACGGGCAAGTGGGCGACTGGTTTTAAGGAAGTCATGGGCAACGCACTAGTGCCGGGTGAAGGCAAGCTAGGGGCAAACTAGGAAGAGCCTTACAAGATAACCGGGCAAGGGGGCATACCACTTAGAGGATTTGATGGCAAAGGCGTACCCGGCCATGGAATGCGGCCTTATGTAATTTTTTGAGGGACTTGTTTCCCCTACACTTCTGAATGCAAAATACTCTTTTTGTCAATGTAATAGAAGTGAATTACTTTTGCTGAAGAGCTTTGTTGTGTCCGAAATAATAGTGGATGAGGGGCCTACTCTTTTGTTCCTACCGAGATGGTTTTACTCCGGTTGAAAGTTGGCGTTTTGTCCAACTTCGGATTCCCAACCGAAGATGTTTTACTCCGGTGGAAGAGTTGGTTGTTTGTCCAACTTCGAATCCAACCGAGATGGTTTACTGCCGGTTGGAAGAGTTGGCTTTGTCCAACTTCGATTCCCTTCGAGATGGTTTTACTCCGGTTGGAAGAAGTTTGGCGTTTTGTCCAACTTCGAATTCCCAACGAGATGGTTTACTCGGCGGTTGGAAGAGTTGGCGTTTTGTCCAACTTCGAATTCCAACCGGAGATGGTTTTACTCCGGTTGGAAGATTGGTGTTTTTGTCCACACTTGATTCCAACCGAGATGGTTTTAA